TTGAGGGGGCAAGCAATGAGAAATTTAAACTACAAGTGGCCAACCCTTATACAAGAATGACTTCTAAAGATGTCGAAGAAGCCGCAAATATGTTTCGGCTTTTCATTTCCAGTCTGTTTCTCAGTGTGAGTACTTTTTCTTCTCAGCATGCACATGGTTTTTTTCTATTAAAAACAAAAAATAATAATAAAGCACATAGATATGCTATATGTCATATCCTTAACCTTGGTTCTTGTTGTTTCTCTTCCCTTCATTTGTCTTTCTTATCTTTATTTCATATTTCGTGATAGCAGTACAAGATTGAACAAACATGATAATTGAATAGACAATTCCTGTCATAAGAGACAATTCAGCAATGCCCATAATGAGTATATTAATTATAAAGTTCAAATTTTCAATAAAATACATATTGTTTCTTTTATAATTCGTTCAGAATGCATCTAGACACCCATAATTTGGAGCTTTTTAACCACCGAGTCGTAATATTTTCATATATATATATATAATTTTTTTTTTCTCATGATTGTGTTTGTATATGTTACTTTTGAAATTTATTACTGACATCAGTGAATTGTCTCCAGATTCCTGTCTTTCTCATTCGAGTTGTTTGTCCTCACATTCCACTTCTGTATTCATTATTGCTCTGGAGATGTGGGCCCTTTGAAATGGGTGATTGGTTGAAGTGGGCATTGGTGAGTGTTGTTCAATTTGTTGTCGGGAAGCGCTTCTACATTGCAGCGGCCAGAGCTCTACGAAATGGTTCGACTAATATGGATGTTTTGGTTGCATTGGGTACTTCAGCCTCTTATTTCTATTCCGTATGTGCACTTCTATACGGTGCGGTTACTGGGTTCTGGTCTCCAACATACTTTGAAACAAGTGCCATGCTAATAACATTTGTACTGTTGGGTAAGTATCTGGAGTGTCTTGCAAAGGGAAAAACATCAGATGCCATAAAAAAGTTGATAGAACTTGCTCCAGCTACGGCACTGTTGCTTGTCAAGGATAAAGGTACTTTGTTCCGTTCTGTTCATTTTTTTCCTTTTTCTAAACCTTACGAATCAAGATTTCCTTTTTGCATATTTTAATATCTTATATAGTATAGTTATCTTTTTTCTTTGTCCAAAATTAAAGTTGATGGTGGAATTGAAATATAAACTTCTAGATAACTGGCTGATCTTGTTATATTGTTTTATTAGATGGGAGATGTATTGAAGAAAGGGAAATTGACGCCTTGCTAATTCAGCCTGGAGATGTGTTAAAAGTTCTTCCTGGTACAAAAGTTCCTGCTGATGGTATGGTTTTGTGGGGTTCAAGTTATGTCAATGAGAGTATGGTGACTGGTGAAGCTATACCTGTTTCAAAGGAAGTCAATTCATTAGTTATCGGAGGAACGATAAATTTGCATGGTGCCCTTAACGTACAAGTTACAAAAGTTGGATCTGATACAGTTTTAAATCAGATAATAAATTTAGTCGAGACTGCTCAGATGTCCAAAGCTCCTATTCAGAAATTTGCCGATTTTGTAAGTGCCAGAAATGTAGTTTTTCAATAAGTTTGTCTCTGTTCTGTTTCTATGCTATATATGAATATCATGAGTTCTGAGCATTATTCAACTCAGCCGACAGTATTATAGTATCTTAACCCTAAACCTGAAAATGTTGTCCCTGCTTTCGTTCCTCAAATTTCGTAATTGTCTACCTAACTTATTGCTTTTGTTGTGGCATACTAGAATTCAAGTTATATTTTAGTGGGTCTAATGAGTACACAATTTAAAACTTTTTCTTTCTGCAAGAACCTTTAGAAGTATTATGGGATAAGAAAAACTTGATTTTGTATCTAGTTTAGGCTGCCTATATTTGCTTGTTTATAATTGTTGGTTGCACTTAGTGGTATTTTATGTCTGGGTTTTTGTTTGACTGTATTTAAGCAGAAAATTTTAACTGGATAACACGTTGTTTGGTGCATGCTGTCATGTTAACAAACTTGACTCAGAAGAAAGGAATACTGATCATCAATAAGTCAGTAGCTGTGTTTCAGTGAACATTGTCAAGCTCTCTTGTTATCCTTTGCCCTTCGGTTATGCTTATGTTATGGCAAACAACTCTAGCTTAAAGATGCTCTTAAAATTGGTAGATAAAAAGACAAATAGTACATTTTAACTTCAACTACTTAAAAAAGTTTTATATGGTCAGCTTCATGCTGTTGAGGTTAAAAATTCTGAAGGAAGAGCTAGGTAATTTCAGTGACGTTGAAAAATTTCGAAGTCCCCCTATATATTTAGCCCCTCCATATTTCCTCTCAAGCTAATTCAGTAGCAGTTCCTAAATTTATGAACTGCTGACTTCTGTAAAATTTAAAATTAAGTTCATCGAATATCTTACATTTCTTCATGACTGCAGGTTGCTAGCATTTTTGTCCCTACTGTAGTTGCAATGGCATTGTTGACATTATTGTGTTGGTAAGTTCATAGTAGTTATTATCATTTTTTCTCATAATTATTGAATTTGTAAGTTTCTAGAATGCTTATGCCTGCTGTTGATTGCGTTATCTTTCGTTGATTTGCTGTAGGTACATTGCTGGAGCCTTTGGAGCTTACCCAGAAAAGTGGCTCCCTGAAAATGGAAATCACTTTGTTTTTGCCCTTATGTTTTCCATATCAGTTGTGGTAATTGCATGTCCTTGTGCACTGGGCTTGGCAACACCAACAGCTGTCATGGTTGCGACAGGGGTTGGGGCTAATAATGGTGTGCTGATAAAAGGAGGAGATGCTTTGGAAAGAGCTCAGAAGGTTAAGTATGTAATATTTGACAAAACGGGTACCCTAACCCAAGGAAAAGCTACAGTTACTACTGTAAAAGTTTTCACAGGAATGGATCGTGGAGAGTTTCTTAAATTGGTAGCTTCTGCAGAGGTAATTCTACTTACTGACTGGCTTCCACGTTTTTCTTCTAGTCTTGTTTCTATGTTGCCTTGTCCTTGGATTTGAACTTTGGTGCCGAAAAAATGACATCTGTTTTTGTATTCCATTAATTTTTTATTATGCTTGATTAAGTATTAAGCTGCAGAAACATTTGCATGTCCGCTACATAATTTTAAAATTTCCACGTTGCCCTTTGCATTTTCTCAGGCTAGCAGTGAACACCCACTGGCAAAAGCAATAGTACAATATGCACGCCATTTTCACTTCTTTGATGATCCCTCTGTAACTAACGATGCACCGAACAATAACAAAGAGACTACAATCTCTGGATGGCTTTTTGATGTCTCAGAGTTCTCTGCTTTGCCAGGAAGAGGTATCCAGTGCTTTATTGATGGAAAACTTACTCTGGTGAGTTCCAAATTTCCATATGGCTTCCATCCTGATATGCTTCACCTGTCTAAGTTTGCTTATTGGAGGTATTGTATCCTCAACAGGTTGGCAATAGGAAGTTGATGACTGAAAGTGGAATCGATATTCCTACCCATGTAGAGAACTTTGTAGTAGAGCTGGAGGAAAGTGCAAAAACAGGCATACTTGTTGCATATGAAAGCAATTTAATTGGTGTGTTGGGGGTTGCGGACCCACTGAAAAGAGAAGCTGCCATAGTAATAGAGGGACTCCGTAAGATGGGTGTCATACCAGTCATGGTTACCGGGGATAATTGGAGGACAGCACAGGCTGTTGCTAAGGAGGTTCGTATATTTCTGTTTATGAATTAGTCAACCTCAATGCTGGTAATCTTGACAGAGAAATGACATGCAACATTGACTTTCATTTTGAGTTAGTTTTTTATTCATTTGGTTTTGGCTTGAATAACGTTTGACCTATATAAAATTAAGGGTCTTCATATAAATTGAAAATTGGAGAATACATTTTGACAGCATGTATGAATATCTTTTAAAAAAAGTTTTAATAATGATTTGGTAACATCAAGTCGTATATATGGTTTCTGGTCTCTTCTGCTACCTTTAGTGGCACCTCATGGTTCATCCACATATGATAATATTATAATACGTTTTAGTTGCATACAAAATGGACATTCATTTGAAAAAAATACTTTTGCTGGGCAGGTTGGCATTCAAGATGTGAGGGCAGAGGTAATGCCTGCTGGAAAAGCTGATGTCATCCGATCATTCCAAAAGGATGGAAGTACAGTTGCAATGGTTGGTGATGGAATCAATGACTCTCCTGCTCTAGCTGCCGCTGATATTGGCATGGCAATCGGGGCGGGGACGGATATTGCAATTGAAGCAGCTGACTACGTGTTGATGAGAAATAACCTGGAAGATGTAATCACAGCCATTGATCTTTCAAGAAAGACCTTTTCTCGGATTCGATTGAATTATGTGTTTGCCATGGCGTACAATGTGATCGCAATACCTATTGCCGCAGGGGTTTTCTTTCCATCACTGGGGATCATGTTGCCGCCATGGGCAGCTGGGGCATGCATGGCTATGTCATCAGTTAGTGTTGTATGCTCTTCTTTGCTCCTTAGGAGATACAGAAAGCCCAGACTTACGGCCATACTGGAAATAGTTGTAGAATAGAAAGAGAAAAAAGAAAAGGAAAATTCTAGTTTTCATCTGTGTAGGAAGGAAATTAAAGTAGGATAAGAGTTCGAATGGAACCTTATCCCAATTTTGTTAATTCTGTTTTCTCCTTGTTTTGCTTTTTTCTGTGTCTTTGATGAGGTGAAATTTATCTCCTCATTCCTTGTAAATGTTAATTGTATAATAAATTTTCTCGTCTTTCCTTCATTCGTTTCTCTTTGTTTTGACTTTTATATTAAACGAAAAAGGATTAAATGGGATTGAGAATCATATTATGCACAAGGGAGAACTGGCTCCAGAAGAACACTGAAAAAATTGCACATGTTTGCTCAATTATTTGATGCATACAGGAGCTCAAATTTCCGAAGTTTATCGTCTTTATGTCAGTTGGTAGGTATTTATATATCCTTCTTTTTCTATTGATCACCAAGGAAAGTGGCAGGAATATTTGAACTTTGACCCCCAAGATGGTTAAGGGTTTACACTTTGCACGACACACTGAAACTTTGGTGTGGGGTTTAAGAGCATTTCCAGCAAGCAGGCTGGGGGGAGGGCTGGGGGAAAATGCTGTTTCCAGCAACACAAAGCTGCCAGGGCAAGGAGTGGGGCCCAGCTACCTGGGCTGGCCCGAAGGGGAGGCTGGCCCGAGTGCCAGCCCGGGCAATCTGACGTCAGCGCTACAGTGCCCGCTACAGTACCCGCTACAGTGCTTTTTTTGTCCAATAAAAAAATGAAAAAAATCGAAAAAAATACCCAAAAAATACTGAAATTTTTTACTCTTCACTTTTAACACCAGCAGCCAATATTTTTGTAATAAAAAATTGAAAAAAATACCAAAAAATTACTTCTTCTTTATTTATTTATTTATTTTTCTCTCTATACCTTATTTCCATTTTCAACATTTAAGTAAATGTCTTTGTCCTTTTACTTTTATTTATTTTTATATTACTCCATTTACTTAAGTTTACAATGTAAATAAGGAAGTACCCCCCATTTGGATTCAAATAAAAATACTAGAAAATCAAATTCCCACCAAATCAAAATATGAAAAATCGTTTTTAGTGCAAAATACGATTTAGGCTAAAAATGATGGCTAATTAAGTCAATATATACTTCATATTAAAATCCCATAAAATCAAGTTTTCTTATTTGATGTGTAAGGAATAAAAGCCGCCAAAAATTTTCTTGAGAAAATGATTATTTTGAAAAACCATTTTTCATACTTAGTCAATATTGCACCTCCGCTAAAAATCTTGAGAAAATGATTTTTCATACGTAGGAACCCAAAAATCTTATCCGAAAATATTATACAAATTAATTGTTGAAGTAAACAAAGTTGTGAAAAAAACAAAAAAAATGAATAGTATTTGCCATGGCAAGCCTTGCATTGCTGGAAACACAAATTTTTTTTGCCCTAGGGCAGCCACTATTCACGTGAATAGTACCCGCCCTAGGGCTCCCCTTGCCATGGCAAGGGGCTAACTGGTGGAAGTGCTCTAAGGCCTTAAGGGTTGGTTATGTATTCGGCAAGAAAAAGAGCAGAAATGCTTTTGCAAACATTCAAATCAGTCTTAGCTGCTTCTTCTAGCTGGTTAACCTACAAAATTCCCAGCTCAGTGGTGACGCAAAGACCTGGTCAAAACCAAGAAAAAAACAGATGTGGCTGGTCAAAAGAAATCCTTGATCAGCAGCGTATGGCTCTGAAAGAATAATTATTTTCTTTAGGTTAATTATTGCTTGAATTCAAATTGTCCATCTTTGAGACTTTGACCCAATTTAATCAACCTTGTCATTATCACCCCCTTGTACATGTACATGTCAGCGAGCAGGTGATCATACTTGTATTTCTTTCACATACATCCAGTTTTGCAGCATCAGAAAAAAGACAAAGCGTACAAAAAAACCATTTTAAATGAAACAAAGACTGGTACAGTTTCTATCCAGTTTATGTTACAAAATACATATAAAACCTTTTCTTCAACTTATCCCATCCTTTTTATATATAGTGGCTCATATCACTGCAGCATATACACCAGAACAGTGTTTTTGATTCACTTGCTTAGCTTTAATTTATGTTCCTCAAAGACAGATAGCTTCATGAGTTTTCTACCACTAAGCCAAGGCCAAGACCTGCAATTGCTAGCTAGCTGTAACAGTTAGCTTAATGGATTAATTACCTCTTCACCCAACAAAAAACCAAAAGAAAAAAGCAGAAGGAATGGCCATTGGGATAGCAGATTGTGAAAAAAAACTTAAGGGCAAACACAAATGGTGTCCTCTTTTAACATCTTCTGAACAAGTGACAATGATGTATTTGTTTTCAACAAAAGAAAAGACATGAGACATGTTCAAAGGATCTTGTGTGTAATCTTGTTGGTCAAACACCACATGTCACAAAAAAGAAGAAGGAAAAACCTTGCTCTTCAAGCCAATCCTAGTGGAACAAGGGCCCACTTGGCTTTCTAGATAATGTATAATTTCCCTAAGTGACTGATTACATTAAGAGATATTTAGTCAAATACCCATTTTTAGCACTAAAATTATAAATAAACTATACACTATTTAATTTCTATAAACATACCCAAAAAAACTCAAAAAATGACAGCTGCCCATATTGAATTTAATTTTAATTATTAAATTACTTTGATGCCTCATTGAGTGTTTTGGGCTATTTTTATAAGGTTTTTGGGTTGGGTTTGTTTTAAGAAATCAATGGCAGTTTTGTAATTTAAAACAAGTTAAAAGCTTTTTTGTTATGATGTAAATGGGCTTTGGGTGTGTTTCTAAAATCCATTTCATATAGGGTTTTTTATTTATTTATTTATAATTTGGGCTCCTATATTGGGTATTATAGTGAATCTCCCTTATATTAATCTATTGATAAATATTTTTCTATCTTACCAAGAAAAAGAAAAAGTAATGCCCTATCTCAGCGATATTAATTGGATTCCAGAAGCAAATTTATTTTGTGGAGGAAAACTTCAAATGCTTCATCAGCAAGAAAGAAAAATAAAAAGTGCGTTCACATTGGATTTGCCCTTTTGGGAGCATCACCTTCCTAGCTGTTTCAGACAAGAAACGATGTGGGGGAGCTCATGAGAGGGACTTTGTTGGTAAAATATACTTAAAGGTTGCAGCAAATAACCTCGTATAATTTATAGGTGACGTTTGCTTGTAGATCATTGTTTCTCAACTTTGAGAGTGATTGTATGTTACCATGTTCAATTAATTAATTAATTAATTAATTAGTTAGTTAATTAATTAATTAGTTAATTAGTTAATTAATCAATTACTTAATTGCAAGGGCATAATCTCACAATTTTTTTTATCAGTACAAAATTTCATTAACCTTTAAAATAAAGGCATAAACAGCCAGTACAACGTTACCTAACAGGAGGGCATAAAGAGTGACTTCGTTAAAACCTTGCCATTAACAACTCCCAAAAGGAGAAAAATCTGGTCAAAGAAATTAATTCAGCACATATATAGGTAGAAAATTACTAGTGACAAGATCAATGGGTTGTATTTATAAACATATCAATATGATGACTTGCAAGCTATGTGGAAATATTAGAGGTGGTCATGGATCTGTTGTTAATTCAAGTCTTAATGGTGAACTTCATCAGTCTCTTTCTTTCAATGAACACAAGGATGCAATCCCCCACAGAATACTTTGAGCATATTAATATAAGATCTCCTTATCTGAAGCTTTAATTAATTAACACAAGGATTTGTTGTGTGGTGTGGGAAGCAGCTAGCATATCAAACTAAGCAAGAAAATACTTCAATTAAATAAATTAGTCTTTTTTAACCAGGGTTGGTTTCTTTTTAACAATTTTCTGACCAAGGAAGCATAGACCATCTCAAAAGGCTCCACAGAACCAATTAATGGGAGTCCCAAAGTGATGTGGATTTGGTGACCTCATTGATACTAACAGATGTAACTTCCAGGAAGCCTCTGCATGCTTTGGCCAAAAGCATCCCCCCTCTCTCTCTCTCTCTGTCTCTCTCTCTTTGTCTCTCTCTCAAACGAAAGGTCAATAGAAGACTTGTCTTAATTTTTGACCAAAAGTTAGTATAAATACAATAGAGATATAAGCTTGCTTATACTTCCCTCACAAAAAGAGTGACATATCACCCACCACTGAAAAAAGCCATGTGAGTAGCAATATTAGAAACTCTGTTACTATTTCTCTAAAAATTTACTTTCTTTATTATCGGAGGATTTTTAGTCGGTACCAGTTTGAAGCTTGTTCATTGTTTTGCTGGGTTTTGGCGACATCTAATCACTCCAAGTAAGTAAAAATCTATGCAATTCCAGTTGTGAGCCGTTTGACTACTGTCGATCCAATTTCAGGCATCAACAAGTAGAACTATGCCTGGTTCTAATGAGTGGGGGCAATACTACCAACAAGCCTTCATGGATAATGGGCAGGCAACACCCACTAATGGAGGATTTTCAGATGCAACTATTGTCACAACAAGTACCACTTTAGTGACAGAGAGCAACGGCAGCCCCAGCAGTTCGCATACAGGAGGAGGAGGTCAGCTAACTCCAACAAGAAGTGTATCCAAACCAATCAGAAGGAGGTCTAGAGTTTCAAAGAAGACACCGATCACTCTCCTCAATGCCAACGCCAACAACTTTCGAGCTTTGGTGCAACAATTCACAGGATGTGCTACTTCTAGCTCACCCATTTCCTTTGGGAACCAAAGGGGTCCTATCAACTTGAGTTTTGGACCCAACAATAACGTGACTAGTTCTGTTATGGCACCTTTTGGCAATCACAACTACAGCTACCAATATCAACAACAAGTGCAGAGGGTGGTGCAGCCGCCGCCGCAAGTGCAACAACACCAACAACGACGACAGCCGCTGCTGCAATTGCAAGAAAATCAACAAGTTCATCAAGTGCAACCGATTGACAATAATATTAGTGGTAGTCATGAATTGTTTCAATATTCATTGGGTGGTGGTGGTTATAATCCTATACCAAATCTGGAGACTCTGGATGAATTTTCCATGGATCAAGAAGACATAGCTTTGCATGACTTTTCTATTGATCTCTAGTAAGTTTAGGAATATTATGATGCTCATGTTACTGCATACTGACTAGGAAAAAGAAGAAGAAAAAAAAAGGTATCTAGATTTTTCTTTAATTGTAATTTCATTAACCCGTATGCTGTAATATTAGAACAATAAGATACTCATGTGTGATAACTTTTCCACCGTAAATTATTATTGGGTAAAAGAATCTCACATATCATCTTGTATACAAGTATTTATATGCTTTTTTTTTTTTCCTCTCTTAGTATGTTACATTCAATATTTACCATCAAATGATCAATACTAGTCCTGAAATCACGAGATCATAATATTAGTACATAATTAGAAAAGGTGAGTTTTGATAGCTAGCCTTGGAAGTTTCACAATTCAAGTTTCATAATAATAGTGTACTAGTCATGAGTATTATTGACCAGTCTAGAAAGAGTAGAAAGTGAGAGAGCCATTTAATTTTCATCAGAAATATTATCCCTCTTTGGGTTTATCTTTAAGTCGACTCTCACTTGGTTGACCAATGACCGAGTATCTCATCACCTTGCTTTTTGACTTGGTCATCGGTATGTATACATTCGTCAATAATATTCTGCTCCACCTTCTAAAAACATAATTAAGTAGCTGCTTAATAAGTTATTAATGTAATTTAAACTCGGAGTATATATGGTTGGCACGAGATAAAATGCCCTATCACTAAAGTTATAAGTCCTCACAATTTTAACAAGATGTTTTATCTCAGAAATCGTTGTTATCAGAGATTTAGAGAATTGAAAATTTGCTAATAACCTTCCCATTATTGGCATCTTGAATTTCGAGTTTGTGTTGTACTCATATGAATGAATTGAATTTGTCTTTGTTTCTTCTTCTTGTTGGTTCAAACTTCGAATTTATACGTTTTCGTTATATGAAAGCACCAAGCAACCAACAATACCAATGACAACACGATAGTAAAACTATAAGAAAAGAAACAACCTCACAAGGCAACACAAGAGGCAACAAATGAGTGAATACTACTTCTTCTTACATGGGTGACAAGAGAAGAGAGTGCATGGGCTCAAACATATACTCCTATACAAATGAGCTAGCCCAACATTTCTCCGACTAGTGAGCTAGCTCAAGTGTTTGGTTCAAGTCCAATGTTTTAAATCACATGCCAATAAGTTGTATTTTCCATTTCAAAATCGCGCTCTTGATGCAATTTGTGGTACTTAAAATCCTACAATTTATGGACATTAAAATTCCACAGTGTCTATTATTATGTTTATGGACATATATCAAGTATTGGGAAGAATGATGGGGAGAAAGATGCTTCCGTTTTCTTTTGGGGGTCAATGAAAGAAAATTAAATCAGATATTGGGATTGAGAATCCGTTGGCTGATTTATCATTATGTGGTTTAGGTTTTTTATTCAAGTCCAACTTATAAAGTTGACTTTTCCATTGCAAAATCGTCCTGACGTAATTTAGGGCACTTAAATCCCCCAAATTGTACAATCTATGGAATTGATTGATTGAAACGAAATGAATATCACATTTGATTGAGAATTAGAGTAGAGATGACTGCCTCATTTTTTGACCAGCCAAAGACTGCAGACCAAAATCATGATATTAATTATATGTGAAATATCTAACACGTGAGCGGAACATTTCTCAAGATGCCACACACACACATACATATATATACATACACATACATATATATACATACATATATATATATATATATATATGCATATGGGTACAAACATAAACATGAGATGAGTAGTGATGAGATGAGCAGAACGAACCCACATACCAAATTAATATCTATAGCTAGACCTAGACCTAGAACGAACAACCTATAAACTTTCATCACCTCCACAGCGAAGCGAACAAAACCATGAATTTTTTTAAAGGTTGATTAATATTTTTTATATAATGAGATATTTATTATAAGCTTATTTTTCTATATAAATAAACATTTGATTTCATTCTATTCTTTGACACTTTGGTTATAGTTTTGGTTATAGTTTAAATTTACCGTTTTCTCCTAAGTATCAATTTCACAATTGATTCGTTCTTCAAAAAAAGTGGTAATGATACTTCAATTCCGGAATAACCTACTAGGTCAGCTCGTTTATTATTATTATTATTATTATTTTGTAATGTAATATTTGTTTGATGTTTGACAATATGTGTTTATTTTGAGTGTTCCTGAACAATGTATGATTAGTCAGCAATTAGTCACAGACCTGATATTACAATTCACAAACCGTACACATAAAACAAACAATTACCAAACCCCTACAAACTTAGAAGAAAACTAAGTGACAACCAAAGCACTCAGAACAATTATCATATGAATTAATTGAATTTGTCTTTGTTTCTTCTTTTTGTTGGCTCAAACTTCGAATTTATACGTTTTCGTTATAATGCAAGCACCAAACAACGAACAATACCAATGACAACACAATAGTAAAACTATAAGAAAAGAAACAACTTCACAAGAGGCAACAAATGAGTGAATAATACTTCTTACATGGGTGGCAAGAGAGTGCATGTGCTCAAATATATACTCTTATACACGTGAGCTAGCCCAACATTTCTCAAATGTACACTCTCTTACATGGGTGGCAAGAGAGTGCATGGGCTCAGGAATCACTGCCTCATATAAGCCTCTGTCAACTCTTTTCATTGACGACCTTGGAGAGAAGTTCGAATTGCTATATATATTCTTTGACAAGAAACAACGGCAGTAAAAATATATAAAATCAATGCCGCAATCTTTTAGATTCCCATGTCTTGATATATATCCTGAGAATAACAAATGAAAATGACCAATGTGAAAAGATAAAAAGGGGGGTGTAGTTGGCATATCTGTCGTAAAAAGTCGCACTGCATGCACAAAACTATTTCAAAAGGGCCGACCTCCATTCCTCATAAATTTGATTGTTCATGTGCTTACAAAGTTACAAGTAGTAATACAAAATGTTACCATTTCCACTAAGCTAATCCCAATGTCCGTCCTCAACTCACCCACCTTCACATTAGCATCCTTCAAATCAAACCCAGTTTCCTTCTTCACCGACTCACCAAAACTACCTGAACCTCGCCGAATTTACTGAGTCAGACTCACCCATACTCACCTCGAATAATTATCTTATGACATAGCAATGCACCTTTGGTCTCCAAATCTATCTTTATATCACGAGCTCATTTTTTATCAATATGTTGTTAATGATTAGATATATTACATTGTCACACTGTTAATGTGGAGAACACATTCAAACAAAACTTACCGAATCAATTGTATAGATGTAAGTATCCTGTAGAATTTTCAATAATAATCATCAAAGCAATGATGATTTTCCAGGCCAAATTTAGAGAAAACCAGTGATTATCATCCAAAGAAAACCAAATATGGGTGTGATCGATGAGAATGCATATAAGATCGATCCTATGATTCTCCCATTCTATTCGTATACGTATGCTCCTGCCTTAAGTCTCACTCACCTAAAATTCCAAATAGCATATATCATCTTTGGTTCTTCTTCCTCACCCTACTGTCAACCAAATCCAGGAACCATTATAAATATCCAAAACTCAAAATCAGAGCCACATGGTGTACCTGGAACATATAAAAATTTCTCATCATATTGTCATCTATAAACGCAACGCAACACAACCGTCAATTTGCTCTTTAATGAAGAAAGTGAGAAAAACTTAGATAAAGAAGCACCGTCAATTTGCTCTTTGAGGTTTTGGGATACACAAAGAATTCCACATTGAATGCTAAAGGAATGATTTTTGAAATCCTACTAAGATCAAGTAACAAATTAATGAATTTGGAATTTTTGCAATTTGAATACCACCCTTGCTTAAATTACATCCAACTTTAAATCCAAACTTTTCCTGATAAATATTTATAAAGTGACAATGATCTCTAGCTACCCCAATATTGATTGCAACTACTGTTTGTTGTTTATATTGGCCCAACTGACCAACCGGTGAATAGCAGACTGAAGGTCATAATCAGAATACTCATTACCATCCAAGGCTTTGAGTCTTGTGTGTGCAATTTTGTAGCATTATCATCTTCATCTTCCAAGGCTTTCACTGGTTTCTTTAAAACGCGACGTTTTTCGTCCACCAGCACCTGATAGAGGTAGATGAAAACCACTGCAAAGCCAGCAACTCAAAGTATACACCACTTACAAGTAAATAACTAGACATGCAGAGTCTTATTGGAAAGAATTTAACACGTTGAATACCGATAACAAAGTGAACTTCAATATAAAGATTAAGGAAATTAACTGCTATATACTCACCCAAGATGGAGAATTCAGCCCAGCATCTGTAAGCCTGGAGCTCCTCCCACCCATGAACCCTAACCTTGACAATGCCATGAAGCACGAGTACGAACATAATCAGAACCGACGATATTGGGCTGTGGAACAAGCCCTTCTTCATCTCCTCCTTCCTCAAAGGGATCCTCTCGTTGGAAGATGACATGGCCTTCAATATCCAAACCACCTCTAACCATACCCCACAAAACAGAAACAGAGGAAAACCTAATTGCATCACTGCCATTATATGTTAATTTGTCAAACAAATCCAAACAAACAAGGACGACGAGGATGATATGCCGTGTCTTTAGTTTAAGAGATAGGATGCAGCTAGCAGAGGAAGGCTTGTATTATATATAGTTATGTATCGGCTTGCCAAAGTAATTTATATATAAATATTAGTCTTAAATGCTAGATTTTGGGTATCTTCCTAGCTGATAGCTATTAATCAGGGTATGCTCCTATCAATAATTGTGGATTAATTTCCGGCTTTAATTACTTTTATGTGTATTAATTTTCTTATCAAAAATGCTAACAGGACGAGGACGGGGACGGGAATTCCCGAAATTTTTTAACGAGGACTAGGGCAGGGATGGGGAGCGGGGACGAGGATGGTATTTCCATACCCGTTCCAAACCAGCCCATTGCCATCCCTAAAAATGGTAGATTTTGCAATGCTTTCCGTACCCAAACTCGGTTATTAGTCCTCAAGGAAGAGTAATGTTATTTAGACACACAAAATTGACCACATTAGTTGACCACTTTATGTGGCAGCTGATGTGGTCATGCCATGTCAATTAATCAACTCTACCATTTGGATTATGTTTTATTTCACAAATCAATAATCTTGAAAAACTAAACCAATAAAATTAAAATCAACCCTAGCGTCCCTCAGACTGTAGCCTCTCGTTCCTTTATTACTTCTCACCTCACGTCTCCAGCCCTCCATTCTTCCATCAAAAGGAGTTGCCATTTCCAATTGTCTTCGTATTTATAATGGGAGAATAGAAGGTCCTGAAATTGCTAGATGTCTTTGTGAGGCCACCAAGACTGGCTCAAGTGCTCCTACAATGGCAAATGACTAATTCAAATGGGGTTTGTCTATTCCCCTTAGAGGAGGAGGGGTGGCCTTGAAATTGGGTGCGAATGATTCTATCAAATGGGGTTTCACCTCTTGAATTAATTGTATGTATGCATACATACTATATCAAATGTGTTCCTTTTTTAATATTTAATTTCTTATTTTTTACTTTAATAGAGGAGGAGAGGGATGAGTAGATTTGATGATGGAAGGAAGGGGTATAACCAACGAAGCTACATACAGACCCAAGATACACTAGGGTTAATTTTAATTTTATTGTTTCAATTTTTACAGATTATTGATATGAGAAATAATAAATAAAGAATAATTTGAGTCCACATGGTAGTATTCATTAATTAATATGGTATGGACCACATCAGTTACCACATAAGGTGGTCGGGTAATGTGATCACTCTTGTGTTGTGTTGTGTTTCTAATTAAAGTCCATGCACGCTTGCTTGATTATATATACGTGTGCATATGGTAGAATTCTAATTAATGCCTAATTAAAGCCCATATATGCTTGCTATGCTTGCTTGATTATATATACGTGTGCATATATGATATATATGTATGGGTGATTTTATTGGCACCCCATTAATTGCTCTTTACACTCTATACTAATTTTAAATATAAATAACTTATTTTACCCTTGTACACAATTACTGTTAAGGACAAAAAAAATTAAAATTAAAATTAAAATTAAAATTGCTCACTACACCCCACATATGTTCCTGCAACCTTAGTTTGACTTTTTTCTCAAACTATCATGTACCTAAACCCTAAACCCAAGATTTATAAGTTTATACTGGTAAAAAAAAATATATTGTATTTATTCATGAAGGGTGAGATTGAAGTTAGAGACGCTTTGAATAAGGTACGAGTTTATTTTTTGGCATTTTGCAAGTTTAGTATTTCATAATAGTCGCTGGTTGTGTTCAGCAAATCAGTACTGAACGCGACAGATAATTTCGGTGGGATGCCACCGAAACGTTGCACTGTTTTCGGTTGGATTTCACCGGTGAGAAACTTAATATTCGGTGGGGATCCACCGTAAGATGGAACGTAGTTCAGTGGTGTACTACCAAACTTTCACCCGGGTTTCAGTGGCATTCAACCGAAATTTATTTATTTATTCAGTAACTTATTGCTGACCACAAATTTAATCCAAGTTATTTTGATCTTACTCCCATTGAAGGAACAAAATCAAGGTGACGCCCCTACTGAAGGCAACAATGTGGGAACAGAATGTGTAATGGACTATAGTGATCAATTCACAACTTATTCGGTAATTATTTGTCTGAAATCCTTTTTAGTATCATTAACGTGGCATTAATGTTTCAAATTTTATATTTAAATAATATGAGTTTTATGTGTAGATATTCAATGGTAGAGATGCATTACTTCGATGGGCTCGTGAACAAGGAAATTGAATAATATTGTCATTGTAATTAAAGGGTCTGATTATGGAGGTGAGGGCAAGAGGAGACCTCGTGTAATACTTGCTTGTGAGAGGAACGGTAACTATAAGTCTTGCAAGTCTAGTGAGACAACGGATATAAGGTCGGATGCAAATAATGATATGAAAAAATGTGCTAGGGACATTGGTATCAAGAAATGTGGATGCCCATTCTTGTTAAAAGGTGTCAATATTGGTGATGGGGATGATTGGAAGTTGGAGGTGGTTTGTGGAGTACACAACCATCCTATTTTAGAGTATTTTCAAGGTCATTCATTTGTGGGGCGACTTACTAAAGAGGAGAATGCCTTGTTGGTGGACATGTCTAAGAGTTTGGTGAAACCCAGAGTTATTTTGGTAACCATTAAAGATAGTGTGAAACCCTATATTTTTAATATATAATTATCTTAGTTAAATATATATTAGTATGTGTAATTATCATGGTACATATATGAAAATATTATTGTTATACTAATTATTATAATAATACTTATATATTTATATCTTATTACATAAATATCTTATTCTATTATATATGGATATGTATTAATAGACCTTGTTAGTTGTCTTTGTCAATTCATAGGCCTTGTACGTGTCAAAGTGAAAACCATGTTAAGTAGCAAGGTTAGCCAACTCACCAAAGAGAAAAGGATATGATTGGAGGAGTTGGAAGAATCACAAAGACATTCTTCCTTATCTGCTATATATATATATTACTTGGTTAGGAAGTATAATCAACTGCCATTACACTATCCAATAGGAAGTGTTTTACTGCCGACTTATTTCCTTATATATAGGACATTATGTGCATAGCAAATGAACCAAGAGAGAGAGAGAGAGAGAAAAAAAAGAAGAAGAAGAAGAAGAAAGAGTGGTGGTGAAACTCTTGGAGCTTGGTTTAAGTGATAGTACATGAAGATAGGTAATTGGGTTGTCTTGCCAATTTATTTTAAGGGCTCTCATTATCGAGGTGAGTGGTTTATGTAATGTGTTCTAAAAGTTCTTATTTTGTGATAAGAAAACCATGAATTATCGTGGATTTGTTCTATTTACAAATATCTCTCTATTTCAAAGTCAAGCATGTCTAATTTGGTACAATTTTTCACATTATATATATATTGATTGGAATATTTGTGAAGTATGTATTATTCATGGAACATGAGAACTTCAGTGTTAGGGTATCCAAGGGATATATGTACCACACGGGGACATAGGGCAGTGAGGCCAATAGGGATCACGTGGTTGGTTACATGAAGGGATGATGTGATATGATCTGGATTGATGTATCTTTTCATGATATTTTCTAGAGTGGGTAAAACGGCATTACTTGACTGGCATATTACATAATCTACTCACTGAGCAGTGGTTGCTCATCCCTCACTCTGTTTAATTTTTCAGATGAATTAGTGAGCAAGACGAGGACTAAATCGATTGAGGCTGAATTAGATGAGAGTAGTAGAGCTTTATTTATTTCTTGTAAAGTTGTAAGATTTTGGAGATATTTTTATAAGAGAAGTTCATTTCAAACCCTATTTCGGCTTTCTTTTCATTTTATTTTATTTTATTTATTTTCTCACACACTGGGCGCGGGATTTCCACCTACCCCCGGGTCCGGGGCGTGACAGATAGAGATGCAATGAATGTTTCAACTATGAAGACAAGAAAAAAGGGGTCTTGATTTTGGTCACCATCACAGCCCAATGGATATTTTGCAACTGCTATGTGAGTTTTAAAACTTGTAAGTAAAGATGGATCAATGGGACCTACTCGAGATGGCTCAGTAGGCTCGGCATGTATCTCAACATTACTATCCTGAGTAGTAGCTACATCTTCAACCTCTGCGTCAACATTACTATAATAAGTAGGAACTACATCTTCAACCTCTGTAATATCCTCAATGTGATATTGGGGAGCCGCTCTCTGTCTCCTCGCTGAGGCCGTGGGATGATGTCTTGGGATGATGAAGCTTCAGTAGTACCCCTGCGAATCCTCTTCATATCTAAAAATAAACAATATTAAGTACACACTCAGTAACGTATTCGGTACATAATCACTGAAAAACAGAAATAAATTCGGTGGACAATCACTGAAAAAAGAATACCTATTCGGTATAGTACCACTGAAAAACCGAAAGAAATTCGGTGGGAGTCCACTGAAAAATAGAAACAGATTCGGTGGACTACCACCGAAACAAGGTAACAATTTTGGTGGTAACCCACCGAAAGTACAGGTTCAATTTGGTGGACTACCAATGAAGCAATGTAATCATTTCGGTGGCAATCCACCGAAACTAGAATCCATTTTCGTAAAACCAGGTTCGAACTACCCAAAACCTTGAAATCAAAATCAAAATCAATATCAGACTTTGGCTTTTCAAAAGTGAAATCAAATGTAGGCTTAATCAACACTTAGAAACGTAAATATATAAATCAAATTTGAAATCAAGCCTTGAATAAGGATTTGTGAGAACTTGACCTTCAATGGCTTTCGGGTTTGCAGAGATGGAGATGGGTGTGATGGTTCTGTTTCAGAGATGGTTCGAGTTTGCTGGAGGCGATGGCAAAGGGCTTCTTCGATGGTGAGCAAACTAGCAGTCAAGTTTGCTGAAGCTGAGTCATCCTTACATTCGATTGAGCCGCTGATAAGTGGCCTGAATATCTTCTTTCGCTCACATTATTGTCCCATTGTGTTGAAGACCCTTTTGGCACTCGAAGGCTTGTGGCACTTGATTTCCATGATTCTGAAGACTCTCCAGCATGGATCTTACTCGGTGGCCTATGACAATAATGCTATTAGCTTGTTTTTCATAGGTACCCTTTTTTTTTTGAAAATTTTGAAATTTACTTACATTTTTTTGAAGTTAATTCCAAGTATTTATATCATATACTTACACGCATGCCCAATTTACCGTATTTGGTTCTATTTATTAACCATGCCTAAGTTGCCGACTTGCCTTAGTTCTTATGTGCGTATGTACCAATACCACATATAAGTTTAGAACTTTTACCAAATATATATATAGTGATGGTAATGGCATTGTGATGGTGAGCCCTAAGTATTTGAATAAGTTAAAACTTAAACTCCAGAACTTGAGATAATCTCAAACAAGTAAGGGTCTAGGGGGATATCAACCTACCATATAAGGAAAAACACCAAGCATTAACAAGTCAAGCGATAAGATAAATTGAAAAGAAATTCGTGAACTTACAAAATTCACTATTAATTCTTTGGCTTTGTCGAGCTTTCTCTCACTATTAATTCAGCATATAGGTAGAGGTGGTCATGGATCTGTTGTTAATTCAAGTCTTAATGGTGAACTTCATCAGTCTCTTTCTTTCAATGAACACATACACGCATGCAATCCCTCACAGAATACTTTGAGCCATATTAACATAATATCTCATTATCTGAAGCTTTAATTAATTAGAACAAGGATTTGTTTGGTGTGGTGTGGGAGGCAGCTAGCATATCAAACTAAGCAAGAAAATACTTCAATTAAATAAATTATTATTTTTTAAACCAGGGTTGGTTTCTTTTTAACAATTTTCTGACCAAGGATGCATAGACCATCTCAAAAGGAGATGGATCTAGTGGCATAACCCGATTATGTTCCGAATATGTTAACCCGTTAAGTTAACAAGAAAAATTTGAATTTGACCAAATCCAATTCAATAATGATCCGATCCGATTGATATACTATTTATTTTATTTTTACTTACTAAATAAATATATATATGCACTTTTCATTGATGTAAATAATTTAATTATTTTTTATATTTTAAGCCCAATTATATTCAAATCCATTAAGCCCAATTTTACATCCAACTAACCTAACTTCACATCTAACTAACGCTAAAGCTAACTAATAACCCTACCTCTTTTTTGGGCAAATTAACCCTACTTATCTCCCACTCAAAATTAGGGGTGGGCATGGGTTGGGTTGGGTCAGTTTAAGTCCCAATCCGATATATACCGATTTATGGTTCTTTGGACTCAAGACCGGCTTATTATTAGACCAACTCAACCTAACTCAATCCAAACTTTTGTGATTGGGTTGAACGGTTTGGTCAAGTTTACTCAAAATTAAGTATACTTTTAAGTTTTGGTTCCAACCGTATTCCAACTCGTACATAATGGTTCATGATTCTTTGAACACAGGACATGCTCATTTTTAAGCCAACCCAACCAAACCAAACCCACTATGATCAAGTTAGATCGAATTTGTGAAGCTAAAATAGTAAAGTAGGGTATGCCAACAACTAAAATTATGAAGAGCAAAATAGTTTATGAAGCTATATTTTCTATGAGAGACATTTTTCAGTAGTTCTTTCTCTTCTTCAATAGTAAATATTAGCAAACATAATGAGGTAGGAATAAAATGATTTTTTTACTATAAGCAACAATTTAAACTACTTTAAAAATTTCTAATTTACGGGTGAAGGGGATTGATATATGGTGTAAAAGGGACATACACCCTACCTTGACCAACAAAGCCTAATCCACATCTGCGAAATAGAATGAAAAATTTAGAGAAAGATGAGTGAAAATGAATATGGTAAAAAAAAAAGAAAAAAAAGAAAGAGGAAAGTTCCCTATAAAAATTTGAAAGAAGAGTGGGTCATTTTGACTCAGGCCCAAACCTCGATTTACGAAGACTTGATGGATCCACTAAAAAGCCTGGATCTGTCAATGGCCCACCGGTTCGGGTTAAGACCCATTCAGGAATGTGGGTCGCGGACTTTTTGCTGTAAACTGAAAACGAAGCCGCGAAGAGATGAAAGGAGAGAACTTGTTTCTGCAGAAAACCAGAAGATTGAGGAGGCATGTGGGCGGCAGGAATCTCTCTCTCTTCCTCATTTTACGCATACCCGAAACCCATTAACAGTCTCCGTAACTCTGTTTTAAACCGTACAGGCTCCAAGTCTTTGAAGCTCAAAGCTTCTACGGGCTCCAAGTCTTTGAAGCTCAAAGCTTCCTTCTTCGACTATCCACTGGCAAGCAAAATATTGGTGAAAAGTATGTATGCCTTTGATTCTAAAAGCTCAGAGCTTTCTTCTTCTTTCTATGTTTTATTTTATTTTAATAAAAGGTAATTGTATGCCTTTTATTTGTTCTTTCTATGTTTTTTTAAAGGTAATTTGACTGATTTATCACCTGGGTCTTGTTCAATTTGTGTAATTTATCAAGTGGTCTGGCTCTTGTTCTGGGTCTGCTGAAATTTTGTGGTTGTGATATAATTTATGAAGTTAATCAATTCGTCTTTACTGAGCTTTGTTAGTTTATTATCTGGGTGTTCTTGCTAGTGAAAGTTTTGATATAGTTTATGCTGGAGTTTAGCTCTTGATTGTTTAATTTTGATTGATTTAAACATCTTACCTCATCTCAATTGTAAATTTCTGGACTCTTTTTGTTTCGTTCTCCTGTGAGTGTACAAGTACATTAGTTGGTAAACTTATTTTAACTACAAATTACTTGGATAAAGTGTTAACAAGTACCCCAGTTTTGCTTAGATGTTAAAAATTTAATCAGTGTAGGGAAGTAGAGGAAGTACTTTAATGAAACTTGGTACACGGGAGCAAGAGAAATGCAAGTGGGGGTTCAAAGTTTATGAAAATAAAATAGTTTAGAAGAGGTTATTGATTACAAGATGAAGCGAAGAAATCAATTTCGCCTAGACCTGTACATGAGAAGTAGTTAAAAGGATCAATCTGATCTGTATCTGAGAGGGATGATGACACTAGAGGGTAACAATGAAGGCTATGAAAGATGTATTAAGATATGGGGAAGAGATCCACTAGCTAGGCTGAATGCAATGAAAGAGGATGGCACCACCTTGGCTGATAGTTGAATGCAACTGTTGAACTAGCCAGGAAGCGGTTGTTCTACCATGTTTTCACAAAGAGATGGTAGATGTCACAACAGCAAGTTCTCCACCGGCGAACGGATCCTTAAGTCTAATCATAGACGTTTAGAGCCTGTTATGTACCATATGGTATAGGTTGGTAGCAGCTATAGCAACTGCACCATAATCACCAGTTACTAGTTCTAGGCTGTTTCTTTCTTTTTCTGTTTTGTTTCAGAGATGTGTTAAGGTATGAATAATTGTTATTTGTTCATTGCATAGTCACATTCCTGGTCCCCTAACTCATTCCTCTTACTAATCATCCCATCTACTCCTCTTCTCTGCAAAAAGTAAAAATTCAGAAACTATCATTGTCTCTAGTTATTCAAGTTCTAACTGTATTATTTGAGCTGCAGATATACCGTATTCCACCAGTGAGAATAGTTTGCAGGAGAAATTTTCGAATTTCGGCCAGATAGCTGAAGGTAAATATCTTGTGATCCAACACATTTGTTCAAAAGGAATTAGTTATGTTGGATAGTCAGCTCCACAATTTGTTCCAATACAATTTGTTTGTCTGGCAGTTAAACTAGTCAAGGATGAAACCTCAAGAAGGTCCAAGGGGTATGCATATATTCAATATACCAGTCAAGATGATGCTATGCTGGCCCTGGAAAATATGGATCACCAGGTTCTACCTTGCCATTTCTCTTCTGCATTTTTTTCTCAGGAAATATCATAACCAGCGACTCATTTGCTTTTATTTTTATTTTTTTCAGAATCTTGATGGCAGGATTATCTACGTAGAGCTTGCAAGACCTGGGAAAGATGCTTATGGAGAATACCCGAAAACCTCTGGTCCCCCGAAGAAGCTGAATTTGCAGCAGCAAGAGGAAGTTTCGGACTGCTGGTACTGAGATCTTGATAGGAAACAACAGTACACGCTCGATCTGTTAAAATTTGATGAGGAGGCGGGATGCAAAAGTAGATTTCACTCCTGCAACCCAATGAGGCACAAAGCATTAACATTGTGGAGCTATTAGCCCAAGGGCTGTGATTCTGTGAATGTCATCACTGTATAAGTGTATGTTTGGAACAACTAGGCTGTGGTTGTAAACTCCCATCCAACTTTGTCAAAAATACACCGATTAAGATCCAACATAGGATCTGAAACCAATTAAACGTTTTTAATCAGAAGCACACTCTCGTAAACGGTGGACGCTAGTATTTCTCGTAAACTTTTAACATAAGTAGAATGTAACTCATAACAGAAGAAAATGTTCTACTGACAGGGCTGGCAGGGCTTCTCTACGTATTTTATTGGATTGAAGAAGAATTTGAGTTTTCTTCCCGTTGATTTTCCTGTCAAATTTGGCAAGTTTGACTAACCTAAAGAATCAATTCAACGTTTGTCTGGTTATAAAATTCATTTTCCCTAAGGAAGCAGATGAAACACACAGGCGCCATTGATTTTTTGTAGCAAATATATGTAGAAGAATTTTAAATACTAATTATTAATTAAAAAGATGACAAAAAAATGAAAATAAATTTGAAAAGTAAAAGTAACTGTTCTTTTGGCTGTAGGGACATAAAACTAATAACCGTTTTTAATGAAATTAAAACAACAACGTTAACGAAGGAATAATCGAACTCTTGAAGAGAAACCTCTGCGTAGAAGGGTATTGTACGTTGACGTACAAGACTGCAACACAAGTGGTCCTTGAGAGAGAGGGAGCAAGAGGCTTTGATGCTCTCTGTTTTCTCTGAAACCCAAAACCAAACAATTTGCAATTGAGGGTGTGAATGATGGAGGATCAGAAGCAGACTAGTGAGGAGCGACCAGTGAGAGTATATGCAGATGGCATATATGATCTCTTTCACTTTGGCCATGCTGGTTCTCTCGAGCAAGCCAAGAAGCTGTAACGCATTCTCTCTCTCTCTTCTTTTTCTTTTTTTTAGTCAAATTCCTTGTTTATTTCTTGAAAGTCAAGCAATTTTCTTTCAAGACTTGAAATTGTTTATGGGTTTTGGTCATTGTAATTAGATGCGTAGTCTCTTGAAGATTGGTTTCGTGATGTTATTGAGTTCATGATGATCTTGCTTTCCTTCTTCGTGTATCCATGTATGTCTGTCTTGGAATTGGAATTTGAGTTCAAAAAGTTTATTCTTTGTTCTTGTTTCTGCTTTTAGTAGTAAACTTGATATGTGAACCCTTGCTTATGCTTCTTTTGGTTTCTAGGGTAATATATACTTAATGCAGCTTGATTTAGTTTTTAAGTGTTCCATTTATGTCTCAATTATAGGTTCCCAAACACGTACCTGCTTGTTGGCTGCTGCAATGATGAAACTACCCACAATTATAAGGGCAAAACTGTTATGACCGAGAAGGAGCGCTATGAGTCACTCCGCCATTGCAGGTTGGTTATTACATGAGCCTAAATTTTCAATCCAGTAATTTTCTTTTTCCTACTCTCTATTAGGTTGCAACTTGCAACTAACACACAGAAGGGACGGATAAGAAGTATTTGTTAATCTTATGCTTATTTCTATTCTTGTGTGGACTTAGAATTCATTGTTATGAACATTTCTGTTGTTAGGCTGCTTGCGTTGCATCTAATGAAAATTGTTTAATTTGTAGAAATTAGCTTTCCTTTTAAAGCATCCTGACCTTCCCCCCTTTTGCTAATTTTTTCATGGGATGGTAAAATTATTGAATACTGTATTTTCGCATCATCACTCCCAGTTGGCTACTCTTACCTTTTTTTTAATATATAAATGTGTTCCTAAATCATTGTCTTGTAATATATTTGCTACAGATGGGTGGATGAAGTTATTCCCGATGCACCATGGGTGCTCTCACAAGAGTTTCTTGACAAGCATCAGATTGACTATGTGGCACATGACTCTCTTCCGTAAAGTTAACCAACCCCAAATAAATTACTTTCATGAACTAGATCAAGTTTTGAAATGTTTGAAATTTTTTTATTCTTGTTTTTCTTTCTCTTCACTTCATTATAAGGGGATAAAGGATTATCATGGACATGGATAGAGAGGGGTATGTGCATTTTGATTTGGGGCAGATCGCGCTATAATGTTTTTGGGGCACTTGTCGTGTCCTAATTGCGTTTAGGCTGTTCATGACAAGACCTTGTCAGACGACTGAATTCATTTGCACATTTGTGATGTTTGTATTTGGTTCACGATTTTATCTCCATATAGTATGACCATCTGTACTACTGGAGATAAAATCATCTTCTTCCATGTGGTTTTCAATTCATCTTATTCTTTTCCACGGAAGTTTATATTTTTATACCTGCTAAAGATAATCATGTATCCTTAATGTGCTGATTGCTTCTTCTTTGTCCTAAAATTGTAGCTATGCTGATGCAAGTGGGTCTGGAAAGGATGTCTATGACTTTGTAAGTGTTAGTCATAGCTGAACGTATATGACTGTTTTATATTACGGATATTGTTAGGCCTCCTCTACTCCCTTGTGTCTGTCAAGGGTGTTTATTTTATTTCTTCTTTTGTTCTTTGTAGACCATGATGTAAGTTATAACCACCCTTTTAATGTTGACTGCACTAGATTCTGGGTGGCAATAGAATATTTCTATCTTTTTAAGGCCAAATTTGCTTCTAATTTTCTTGATATTATGTTTTTGTTGTCCATTTTAACCCTCTTCTTTCCCACTCTGAATCTTATGTTTCATCTTGCTCTGTTTCAACCAATTATTTAAGGATTGTGTATCTGTGGCTCCCTAGTGTGAATACTTCCAGCCTATTAACTTTTGTAGTGGTTCTTACTTTGTTGAATTTTTTTTCTATCATTATTTGACTATTATGCAGGGCTTGTTTCATTTTTATATACTTACATAAACTTCCAAACAGGTTAAGTCCGTTGGAAAGTTTAAGGAAACAAAACGGACTGATGGGATTTCTACATCAGATATCATAATGAGGATTGTTAAAGATTACAACCAGTATGTGATGCGTAATTTGGACCGTGGGTACACAAGAAAGGAGCTAGGTGTTAGCTATGTGAGGGTATGCTCTTGTTTATATGAATATCTTATGTTCAAGTGGTCATTTTCTTTTCTAGTGCAAGTAGTGATCTATATCATCCTCATTTCTTACTATTTAGGAAAAGCGACTGAGAGTGAACATGGGACTGAAAAGATTGCGTGAGAGGGTGAAGGAGCACCAAGAAAAAGTAGGAGAGAAGGTATGTATCTCGTGATGCTTAATCATTTTTGGCCCCTTTTCATATGTATCATTGATTATGAGTATCTGGGACTTTAATCCAGGAGTGTTATTCTACTACATGGAATCTGTTCTTTGATATATGCGTAAATAGGCATGCACAATTAACATTTGGTACCCCTTTGGCTACGCATCATAAGATGTAACCTGGATTGTGGTTTGCTTGGGTTGTAGTGAAAAATGTGATAACTTTGCACAATAATCCTGAGATTAATCATGGAAGCAGAAGAAAATAATATTAATGAGCACAAAAGTGTCTACAGATAAACAAAGGTATTTGAAAAATGGCCCAAGTTGATGTCTGTTACCCTGCACAGTTAAGGCTCCGATAACCTATACTTGGTCATGGCTATCAGTTTGGAAGTTCCTTTAATAACCTGTATAATTGGTGTTTAATATAATCTTAAACATCGTTAGCTTTAAATGTATGCACTTCCTGGTGGAGCTTCACATTGAATAGATTGGTTGCATATATCTGAAAACAATGCATATTTATTTTAACTGATGATAGTCCAAAAAGAACTGGAAATGTGTATTGCCTTTGGTCTACTTTTTCCAAGGGAACTTCCCTCATGTTCATCTATTCAAAGGTCTTGTTCTGGTTGCAATATATTCTGCATATTTCTGCAATTAAAGCATATTTTTATCTTTCTAACAGACTATTGGACTTAGTATGTCTAAATGATATATGTGCTTTGGCATTTTGTTTTGTTTTTTTTTTCCTTCATAAATTTGTTTACAATGCAAAGTGTTTCTCACATATTACTGATTGCTTGAGAATAGAAAGTGATTTGGACTCCGCTAGAGTGAACTTTCAATATCTGAAAATATTTTGGCCTCAGTAAGACTCACACAATATGCTTGCTCACATTTAGTTCCCTGACAATGTGACAATCTTGTTGGTTTTGCTAAGCCCATGTTATTTCCTAACAGAATATGATTAATAAGTAGTTGATTGGTTTTTTCCTCTGTTGTTACTGTGCAGATACAGATAGTTACAAAGACTGCTACAATGCGTCGTAATGAATGGGTGGAGAATGCTGATCGATTGGTTGCTGGATTTCTTGAGAGGTTTGAAGAAGGTTTCCACAAAATGGTTGGCTCTCTCTCGGTTTTGTTATATGACTTACGTTTTGTACGCACAAGCTGATTTAAATATATTTAGGGAAGATATATTTCATTTGCTTTTACTTCTGTAAAACTTGTCGTGGTCTTCTATCAGGGAACAGCCATAAGGGACCGAATTCAAGAGCGAATAAGGAAGCGGCAGTTCGGAGGCCTTTTATATGAAGAAGATGATGATGATGAGTTCTATGACGACTCTGAAGACGAACGCAATGATGAAGACGAAGAATAAATTTATTCTTGTTGATGTCCATTGGTTAGGCCGAAATACTTATTTATGGTATTAATGTAGAAGTAATCTAAGATGAATTCCAAAGGCTAAGTTTGTGTAACAGCCTAAAGTAAGGCTTGGATCTTCAAATACAATTATTAGTAATCTCTCCTCTTCAAATACAATTATTAGAAAAATCTCAAATTGTGCAAAAATCCTACAAGTGATGTGATGTGGTGGGTGGTTTTTTTCTAAAGGATCTCATTCGAGTTTCCACAAATTAATATTTTCTTGTTTCCGAATCTCTCACATCACATGAGGGTGATACCACCATCAGGAGATGTTGTTGAGCATTTTGGATTATCCTACTTTGCTAGCATAGGTTTCCTTGCAAGTTGCAAGTGTAACAAAACGAAACTCATCCCTACCTTTTTCTTTTTCTTTTTCTTTTCCATCATTGGACATAATGTGATCCCTCTCACCTCTACACATAGTGAAGTGGCTTGTCCTTGAGAGAGAGAGAGAGAGAGAGAGAGAGAGCTGAGGACGTGTTGTGCTAGTGACTTCCTTGACAGCACGTCATTGAGCATTTTGGATTACCCTAGTTTGCTGCAAGAAGCTCAAGAGGGGTGTTTTAACTTCGATACCCTCTTCTTCAGCTGGAGAAAATTTAAATTCATCGATAAACAATTAATATGGTGACAATGCTACGCCGGATGGACATAAACTTACTCAACTTCTGTTTTCAATTCAATTTTATTTCATAAAGGGGGAGGGGAAAACAAATTCAGATTGAAATAATTGGATATACTATAAATGCATAAGGGTTATCAGAGCAAATCAAAGTAAATGAAGAGGAGTGAAAATACAGAGACTATAGTTGATATTAGTACAGTACTAAAGCTGCCAGTGCTGGGCTTTAGTATAGGTTGAATTGAAGCTAGAAATCTCAATGGCAGTATTGGCTGCAATATTATTATTATTATTATTATTATTATTCATCTACGACTACCTGGGAAACTTTAACTTTGTTGAACGAAGATTTAAAGGTCCCAAAAGTAGCTTTGGTTAAGTGTGAATATAATTTTAATTTCATGACAAACAAAAAGTATGGAAACAATAAGAGAGCTGCCATAGTTTCATTATTAAAGGTGAATTATTCTACCCAAACACATACAAAATTCTTTCATTCTGAACTCCGTGAGGAAAGAATGACTCACAAAATCTAAGAAGACAGGAAGAGAAAATAGTAAAACCAAATACTAATATGAAGCTCAAAACAAGTTCACGAGTTTCTGCAGAACAGATCCCATCTGTGATTTTGAATAAAGCTGAACATGAGCTCCTAAGTCACTTAGGTTGTGACAATTTCAGCAAGAGAGGGCATGGAGCCACTGGACTTGAGCCTATGCCTGCAAGTAGGGCAAGAAGAGTGGTGGAGCAACCATTTGTCAATGCATGCAACATGAAACCAATGGTTGCATTTGGGCAGGACCCTTATCTTGTCCCCATCAGAAAAGTCCGCCAAACAAATAGCACAGCCGGAAGAAGAAGAAGATGATGATGATGGAGAAGTGTTCAAATTGGCACTATAAGTTGAAGTGGGCAAAGCTACCATTTCCTCCTTCTTAAGCCCTGAATTAAGCCTGCGTGAAGCTACCCATTGGACCGGTTCGGTGAGGGCACGGTTGGCACACTGAAAAACACATTGTAACATGGAATTGAGGCCAAGAGCACATACAAAAGCACAGAAAATGGCTGCCAAGATGACCATAGAATTGAGATGGTTTTGGGGTTGGAGTTGATCATGATGAGGGTCTTGATCACAGAGTGTTCTGATTGAGCTTGGACTAGTAATTGGAGGAATTGGAGGGGGTGTTTGAGCCATGAAGATAGAGATGAAGTGATGGAGATAATTGAGAACTTTTGACAGTGTAGTGGTGGAGAAGATAGAGATGTGAACTAATTAGTGGAGAGGAGGGTTATGCAATGCACATAGTTGATTTTACATGCTGAAAGGGAGCTTGCATTTGAGGGAGAAAAAAGCAAGTCGAGGCTAAGGATGAGTTAATGGATGGAGGGTGTGCAGAGTAAAATATATAGAGGAATTTTTCGGGATTATTCGACATGGTGTTACAATTCATTTGTGTCATATCATGTGTAATTTCATTTTTTACACATATTATGACACTAGAAATAGTAACATCACATAAAATTGTTATTATCACACCTTAATTATTTTTTCCATGATACATGGGAAGAATGGTCCTCAAGTAATGGAAGGTGTGGAGAGTAAAATGATAGATGAGGAAAATGGTGGCATGTTTGGATATGCTTACTTGGCAATCCACTGTCTTCTTTCTGTTTTGTTTATGCGCTTCAAAGATATGCCAAGGTATATCTATATATCTCCCTGTGATCTATCTAAAGAAACCTTACCCATTCTTATTGGTTCTTTCTTTCTTTCCATCAATCAACTTGCACTAGACATCAAGGTCTTTTGAAAAAGTAAACCAACGCTACTAGGACCTTTCCTGTGTGTGCATCTTTTATCCTATTTCTTGATTGGAATTTCAATATTTCAAATGGGCTTCACTTAGAGCATCATTAGTGGGGGGTGTATTTTCAAGGGTGTAAAGCCATTTTTACATCCCTTTTACACTTCCGGAAAGTGTATATGAGTGTTTTTTTTTACTCCAATAGGGAACATTTTTGGGCTTTTGGATCAAGCTATCGGTTGGATTTGTATAGAATGAATCATAGTCGTCCACCTTGAAAGGAGAAATCACAGCCACTAGATTTTGCAGGTGTTGGAATTTGTTTCCAAATTGAATCAAATATGAGCCCACCACAAGACTTTGTATGGCGAGTATTCTATAGTTGCGCATGTTAAGCGAGTTGGAAATATGATTCAACTTTAATCCTCTATCCTCTCTCCTCCTTTCTAAGTAATGGGGCCCGTTCCAAAAGTGTAAAAACATATGTAAACATATAACTTTTTTGCATCTCCGGCATCAAATGCAATTTTACAACTGTTTACATACTCCCACTGCATGAGTTTCCAGCCCAAAAAGATGTATATTTAGCGGAAAGACTATAATGAGGGCTTAAAGTGAGGAGGTTATTTGAGGAGGTCAAATCTCACAATCAACAAATGTAAAGAAATCATGGGACTTAAATATTTTAAATGTTTTGACGGTCGGATCGGTCTCCTTAAATAACCTCCTCACTTTAACTCCTCATTGTAGAAGCTCCCGTATATTTAGCATACATCTGGATTTACATGTGACCATTGATGATGCTCTTAATGCTCTGGTCTCTCAGAAGGTTTATCTTTTCAGGGCCTGGCCAGTCCTGAAAATTCAATGGCAGTTGAGCCTTAGGTTGAGTCTTAGGTTGAGTCGGACTTGAAATAAAATGCTAGGCCCCGCCCATTTTGTAGTAAGTTGTGATAGCAATGGTTAACCACACATGTGGGCCGCAATAGCCGCTAATGAGTTATGAGTCCAATTATCATCAACGCCTTACAGTATCTCACAATTCACCGCGAGTAAACTCATATTGAATACAAACATTATCCAAATAAGATCCGGGATCATTTATAAATTTGTATTATTAAAACAGCACTCGCGTGCAAAGAGTATCATCAAATCAACAGCATGATCAGTATGTAAAAGCATTTCGAGGCTTCTGTTGTTTTCTGATTCATGCCTAATCTTTGTTTCCTTCAGATAGTTTTGGACCTCCCAAAGTCCTTTTCCCAACTCCAACAACCTTCTTCCAACGTAGAGTGCCTGTCTTTTATTTGTAGTTGCCTTGGGCAATTCAACCAAGCTTTGACAATTCACTGGTCAAGGCACTAACATCCGAAAAAGGAACATCACAGTGACCACCAACATAAACTAATGCTAAAGAAATTTAAATAAAAACTTAACCACCTTCAAAACTTAACAAGTATGAAATTTTATTACAAGCGATCTCGACGTTATTCGTTGTAAAATCAATTGTATATTATTTTGTCGAATTTTCGAACTTACGTTCTTCAACCATCTCATTTGTATAGTAGAGAAAAGTTTGGTACTTCATATATCATTTCTTTCTTATAATCACAGGGCAAAATAATGTACAAGCAATAAATAAATAAATGCATCCAGCTTCTCATCTCTTACATACATTTTGGGAAATCTGCCTCCAACCATATATATTAATTAGGTCTACTGGTGAACAACCAGAGAAACCACACCATTTACCACCTTCTCACTCTCCACAACGACCACATTGTTTGACACATTTGTCACAGCATGAGCTGTGAACTTGTCCTCCCCTTTTGTATAAAATGAGTACTGGAAATTATTAATCCTGTTGGGAAACACCAAAACAGAAGAAAAATCAGCCACCCATTTGGTCCCATTGCCCTCCACATTCAATCTCCCCACCGTTGATTTCAACCCCATCCCAACCACATTGTTCTGATCAATCACCACTTGATCAATATCCCCAAACTGCCCCTCTAGCTGGACAATTGGAACCTGTGAGCTCCCTGTAAACATGTTGTTCACAATATTTAGCCCAAAAACCTTGCCATTGACAGATTTTAAGACTATATTTGCATCACCTAAGAAGAACCCATTTGTCACATGAACTTGAACAGGGTCTTCCAAGACTATGGCAGTGAAATCCAAATAGCAATTATCCAATCTGGTTTGAGAGTTTCCTGCCAACTTTACCAAAATGCCTATGCCACCAAACCCTGTGGCCTTATTATAGCAATGTGCCCCAGTGACCACGTTTGCCTGGCCCCTCAGCATAATACCAATAGCAGCCGAGAATATTACAACGTCAGTAATGGCATTGTCATTGCTGGCAAGGTCAATGGCAGTGCCTGTGAAATCCCTCTCACCCTTGTCTCCTCCAACCGTTGAGTGCTGCCCCAAGAAGGTGTTTGATATGAAGGTCTCGTGGCCTTTTTGGACTAAAATGCCTTCTGTTGTGAAGTGGAGGAAGAAGCAGTTGGTTATTCGAATTCGGGCCGAATCGACGACAAAAATGCCTCCTCCTCTGAAGCTTGAATCGAAGAGAATGTCTCTGAATGTGATGTCCTCATAGTAGATGCCTACATTATTATTGTTTTGGGCTTTGTCAAAGAAGGCGGCATTGCTGGCGATGGTGGCTTTTTGTTTGAGTTTTTGGGAACTTGGTGACCATAGTTCAATGAGATGGCGGTCCCCTGGAAATGTGGATGAGCCTCGCAGAGATCCTCCTTGTACCTAAATAATAAAAATGACAAGAATTTAATTAATTAAAAATTATTGGGAAAAAGGAAAAGGTTAATTTGTCTAAGAAAAAGTAATGGTACAAAGTAAAAAAAAGGAATGACTGTCTGACTCTGACATGAAAAGAAAGCTCTAAAAGTCGGTGCACAAACTACAAAATGGCGACGTGGCACAAACCCATTTCGTCAAAAGTTTAGGGGGCGTTTGGTATCCTATTTAAATAGGAAAGTCAAAAACTTTGATTTTTCTTAAAAATAAGGAGTTCTTAAATATATTTTTAAGACTCAAAAACTTGTTTGGTATGCAATTTGAAAACTGTTTTTATATCTTAAAATTTTGAGATCTTGTGGGTTGTTAGAAAAAAATTTAAAAAACAGATATTTTTTGTTTTTAATAATTATGGTGTTTTTTAGTTATTCTTGAGTTTGAGTTTTTAGAAATATGGCTACCAAACAAGTTTTTTTGGTTTTGAACTCAAATTTTGTTTTTAAGTTTAAAAAATTAGATTCAAGTTGAATACCAAACATGCCCTTATATTTTATTTATTTATTTAGAATATAAATAATTTTATTTAGGGGTTAATTTTTATATATTTTATTTCTCAAAAGACAATTGTAATTTTCATTAGTAATTATAAATATTTCATTTTTTGACCTTCCACACGGTTTAGTTTGGACGGCCAAAGACTGTAAATATGTATTATAATTTTTATATCTAAATTGATTGGCCGTATCCGAGAGAGAGTTGATTCTTGGACTTGTACTGTTGTCCAACAGCACCACCATGACGCAGACAATGAGAGAGAGAGGAGAGAGAGAGACTGACCACAACATTGCCAGCACCTGATGGGAACCTTAGAGGTTGGCTGATTGTGTAATTTCCACCTTGAAGATCAATAACAACGCCTCCCAGGTCAGTGATTCCAGGCAGCAATTCAAGCCCGGATTTCAGTTGAAAAGCCTCCTCCACCGCTTTGAGTAGGGCAGCTGTGCTGTCCTCTGCTCCAGTCGGGTCTGCCCCGTACCCGATTGGGTAAAACACCCTCCCATTCTAATTAACATACATAACACCACACATTAAGTAACTAATTAAACTTAATTTTAAAACCAAGTTAAATAAATAAATAAATAAAACAAGTGAAATGAACAATATCTATATATATCTCATACCCTTGTGACATTTGAAGCTTGAGCCAGTGAAAAGGGCAGCTTGGAATGATTGAATGCTGACAGCATTTGTTGCCTGTGAGAAGAACATTTAGCTTCTTCTACCAAGAAGAAGAAGAAGAAGAAGAAGAAGAAGAAACACAATGCTGCTGATGGGATGGGCCTCATTCTCTTTCAACTGCACTTTGCTCTTTCAAAAACAGAGAGAGCTGCTGTATATATATGTTGCTCTCCCCTGTTTCTTTTGCCTCCTTTAAGAGAGAGAGAGAGAGAGAGAGAGAAAGAGAGAGAGAGAGAGAGGATATAGAATTTTGTTGAGGGTGTTTTGGGGTCTTGATATTTATATATGATTGTGGCTTTTAGTCTTGCGCCTAACAAAAGAATTATTAAAAAAGAAAAAGAAAAAAAGAAGGTACATTTTAGAAAAAAGAATAAGGGGAAAAGAAGAAAGGAAAGGAACAAAATTTCGGTCTTCCTTTCGGTTATTAGTTTTATGGTTGGTAATTATCTATAGTCGTATTTATTTATTATATAATATTGTTGTCGTTAAAATTTATGTTATGTTATTATTACTATTATCACCATTTGTTTGGTTGGTTAAATTGCTAGCAACCTTTGTAAGCAAGAAATATGATGGAACTTTCATTAACCAAAAACAAATCAATAAATGTACTTTATTATCAATGGATGAATGGAAGAAAGAAGAGAAGTTAGGAATTTAAAATGGAGAATTACCATACCAGCACATGGGTGGCACCGCCGTGGAAAAGCCGATTCACGTAGGAGACAATCTTAAGACAACCCAATGAATTACTCATTCCTTCCCCTTCTTAGCAAATGACAAAAAAAAATAAAAAATGATACATTATAGTGTAATTAGAATGTTTATTTGGCATTGTAACAACTCAAAATCCAACCAATCTATTTAATGTTTCATAGGATGTTTGAATGGAACATTAATTAAATTCTCTAATAATTTCTTTTTCGGGTTACATTGGAGGAAATCAAACCTTAAACCTAATACAAACCTAACTCATTATCCTACCCTCCCTCACAAATTTATTGTATATTATAATTTGAACATTTTCTAAATCGTTTGAAGATCTAAATCCTTTTATTTCTTAATCCTTATAGTCCACAATCTTAAAGCATATATGTAGACAGCCATGCTTAGCTTTTTAGGAAAGTGATGATCAGAACCCCTTTAGAAAACCTTTGGTTAAGTTTTGCTTTTCCCTTCTTTCTCGTTTTTTTTTCCTCTGCAAACGAAGCATGCACTAAAGAGACTTCTTTTTACAGTTTTGTTTCACAGAAAAACATACAAAAAGTTAGATTGGATTTAATTACAACAATTATGGAGGTGGTTGAGACTTGAGATACGTCTATATCTTTGCTGCTACCTCTTGCAGTCTTGGGCATGGAGGAGTAGGTTGTGACGGTACTAACTCACATGAATGGAATTATGACTTCCACGTCTCCTTCAAAACTTGTTATGATTAGAAGTTGTGTGTTAGAATGATCTCAATAAGTAATATTCTTAATCTTCTTATAAGAAAATTTGACATATTAATTTATGTATGCTAAATTGACAAATATGACCATTGATTCGGTCTTTTAGTATATGTATATAAATTTTATGAAAATGTGATGGTATGGGAGTGGATTTATTAAAGGGGTAAAGAAGTACCCTAATTTTATTTACTATATAATTGTTTTTCCTTTTTTGATATAAGGCAATAGAAGTTTATTAGATTAAGGACAAAAAGAGTACAAAGAGAAAAGACTGTAAAGGGAATCATCCCAATAGCAATACGGTGGACATGTGCAAAACTTTCCTTTATGACATGAGTCAGCCAAAAAGTTGAAACAATATGAAGAGAATAACTCGAATCAAATCATTACAGTCCAATTCGGTTTGTTTGATCTTTTTAGCTGATCAAAATTAAAAAAACCGAGCATTATAATTAATTCATCACAACACAAACTATGTGCATCCGTTAATCCGAAGTCTTCCCTTTGAAAAATTAATTCATCATAACTATGAATTCGTTAATCCAGTCTCTTTGGAGTATTATATATGTAGAAACACCATATACTTCCTATATATTTATGTATGTATATTATGGATTGAGGATAGTTTAATGTTATAGCTTATACACATGCGATTTTCATAGCAACAAGCTATATATTCAATTTGTTGGCGGGCATCATATCATATCATGAAGATCACTGAAATCCTTAATTAGCATATATATATATATATATATTTGGCATTATTACAATTATCTGCTCTAATCATTTTTTTCAAATTATATAATTGGCCTTAATTAGCTATATCACTATATATCATATTTGTTATACATGTGTGGGTAGCTCATGTGGATATTTCCTTACAATTAATTAATAACAACTCAATTATATATGTTTGTGAGGCGCAGGTGGCTATTCACTTGGAATTAATTAATCACAACACAAACTATGTGATAGAATAAGTTTATTAGATCAAGGACAAAAAGAGTATAAAGAAAAAAAACTGTAAAGGAGTCATCCCAATAGCAGTACGGTGGACATGTGCAAAACTTTCCTCGGTGACATGAGTCAATCAAAATGTTGAAACAATCTAAAGAGAATCATTCGAATCAAATCATTATACTCCAATTCGGTATTAAGCTCTTTGATCTTTTTTATTGATCAAAACTAAAAAAACCGAGCATTATAATTCCGATCGATCGGTTGAATCGATTCGGCCGGATTGATGCACCACAAGATAGAATGGTCTTGAGGGTTGGTAAATCTTGAATACCCAATTATGTGCATTGGTGGATTCATCATAGCATACATAATGTACAATCCTTCTGTTCAATGTTGATAATGCATATAATAATAATAGTAACAAAAATGTCTTCCTAATACTTGCAACGTCACAATAGTACCATTCTATTTCGATATGTACCATATATTGTGGATATCATAATTCAGAAAAGCAATGCCCCAAGACCATCAATCACTTGATTTGATTCACTGGATTCATCTTAAACTTCTTGAACTGAAATGCAGGATGAACTCTGTGGACAATGCAGTCTGTCACAATCTTCCTGGCTAACCTCATTCCTTCGATCGGACCCGTAGCAGCAATAGAACAGCTCAGCTGGCAAAAAATAATAATAATAATAATAATTCAAAACTAGCAAAAATTGCAGAGGAGGAAGTTTCCTTTGCTTTCATGAAAGGGCATAGAGAAAGAACCTTCAACCACATTTTTTTTGGCTTTGAGCATGCATATGCCTTTTTAGGTTGTCTTTATGCTTTAACGAAGTAATTTTATTAGTGAAAACATGCAGAGACATGGCAGCTGCTGCCTTTGAATTCCAAACCACACTTACGAGATATTAGCTACAAGTTGTAATGAACCTTTGGAAAATCAAACTGAAATTATACTTAAATTTCCCTTGAAAATAATATTTCTAAAATCTTACAATTCGTGCTGAATAGAGGCGGACAGAAAAAATTCAAGCTGGGGAGATAAAGTTGGGTATGGAATACAATCATACCAAATAAAGTGGAGAAAGCAAATGACTAAACATTGTCAACCCTGCCATCAAATTTTAATTACGTAATGCCAGGTTCTTGAAAGGTTAGGTTAAGGTTAGTTTGGGAGAAAATCTGAGTCCGTGTAGACAATATGGGCAGTAAATATGATACAAATATCAACTCTCATTTCAGAAACAAAATGCCCCAAGACCATCAATCACTTGATTCATCCTTTTAATCTTCCTAATCTGAGTTGCAGGATGAACTCTTTGGACAATGCAATCTGTCACAATCTTCATTTACAAGTTTAAAATAGTTAAATTAACAATCATCAATTCATAATTCTAACTTCACCTGTAGAGGTGGGAAGAGCAGAAGAACAAATATGCCATCAAAATCACAGTGGAAGGAATAGTAACACCTACATGGAGATAAAGATCACAGCCTGTCAATCGTGAAAGGTCCTGCACCTAACGAACAGAATGATATTTTATGCACCTGTAGAGGGGAGCCAAGGAGAAGTTTCCGCCGTTTTTGGTATTGCTCCTGCACACGATACTAGAGATTAGAAAAAGCCTGAAAGATGAGTTTTTGCATATCTCCAACAAAATGTTCTTGTCCATAGTCTCGCCTCTGTTGTTTTCTGTTTTGATAGAAGTTATATTTGTTGGATGATAGAAGTTATATTGGAGAGGGGGAAATCAAACCAAATAAATGCTTACTTGAGTTTTTTCCTTTTTTTTTGTTGGTTGGAGATAGAATACTTACTCGAGTTACAAGTCTCTTGAGCCTATTTTTGTTTCGAATAAGGTATTTTTTGGCTATAGGGTTCAACCCTTGACATTTCTGGATCATTTACGCATAATATACTATGGACAAGAACATTTTGAACCAATCTCATAATATACTATGGACAAGAACATTTTCAAATTGATGGTAGTCCCAATCTCTTGGACCATAGGAGTCCAAGAGATTGTGGTCACTCACCGTTGGATATTAATCTAATGGTTCAAAAAAGTTTCTTAAAAAGAGTGCAAGAGTGAATGAACTGTTGAATTCACATTCAACGGTGAGTGACCACAAATCTCTTGGACTCCTGTAGTCCAAGAGATCGTGACTGATGGTAGTCCCAATCTCTTGAACCACAGGAGTCCAAGAGATTGTGGTCACTCACCGTTGAATATTAATCTAATGGTTCAAAAAAGTTTCTTAAAAAGAGTACAAGAGTGAATGAACTGTTAAATTTACATCCAATGGTGAGTGACCACAAATCTCTTGGACTCTTGTAGTCCAAGAGATCGTGACTGTTATATATGGTTACATATGAATAAATATAGCAACCAATTTTAAAATAAAATAGCTATTATTTATAATAAAAATAATAAAAAAATTAAGAAACTAGCTTAACTACCCTTTCATAAAATGACACTGTTCACACAAAAACACATGTACATCAGAGACCTTTTTTTGGCCCCAGGGTTTGTTAGATTGATTGCCATGGAACCACATGCCAGAACATTTTCACCCACAAAGAAATTGGTGGAACAGAGCATATATGTGTGAAATTGGGACTTTGAAATTGAGCTAAATTAATGAGCCTAGCTACTTTTACTTCTTGCCATGTTCTATAAGCCTACATTGGCTCTTAAGGCTATATAATATGTTACTCAGATGTATTAAATTTATAATCGAAAGCATTACATTTCTATGAAGTCAACAAAGAAGATAACTTGCTAATGGAGTCTAATCTAGTGAAAAATAGCTTTAACTTGCAGATTAGTGGTCTTTGCTTCAAACCCTATGACACGTAGCAGTGTGTGGAAAACCCCCTCTCATTTTAACTTTGCTATAAAAAAAACAAAGAAGATAACTTTAAAAAAAAACAAATATTTTGTGCAATTTGACTGTGCTGTGGTGTCCAGTTCTCTATCTGCTTGCCATTACCAATTTGCCAGTCAATAAAACTAGAAAAGTAGTCCTTACAGTTCGACATGTTCTTTCTGTACAAACAGTCAATCATACAAAAAGCATGCCTGCGCTTGACTGACTTTCGCTCTATGAGCATCAAAATAAAATTGAGATGGGAACATGCATCCCTATTAATTCTCGATGATCAGGTTAAATACATACTATTAATATTGTAATTTAATTAATTAAAACCAGCATCTTCCTCTATAAATAGAGAACAACCATCCCATGAGTAATTGGGAGATCATAATCATCCTTCTACATTTCCTGTTCTTGTTCACCTTGATTGTGTTGATCCTCCGCCCCTTCCATCCCTTGTTCACTTTCATTTTCATGATCATACTTCACCACTTATGCCTCTTCTTCACTATTGTCTCATGACAATATATGAAGAAGAGGTCGAATTGGGGCGGGATTGCCATGACAAAAGTGAACAAGAGATGGAAGTGGTGGATGATGATCATGACATGAAGATAAACAAGGGCAGCATACTCATGCCAATGATGATCATGACTGGCCTCCAATGACTTCATCAGCTACAACTTGAGTTCGGACTACAAGAACCGCTTGCACACTTCGTCCCCATGTCTAGCAATTCCTCTATCAATGTTTTTCAATAAGAACCATGACTGATGATGGAGTTGCTGGACGTGAGGACGAAGTGGTGGCAGCAGGGTAGTTGTAGCTGATGAACTGCATATGGAGGCCAGTCATCATCATACTATCTCCAATCTCTAATATATTTGGCTTGCTTTGGATTTCTAATACTATAAACGATGATATCGGGTAGGTAGGCTTTACCAACTCTAACCACAAGAATAACGACCGATGTTCAACTACCTTTTTTTTTGTTTTTTTTTGGGTCGAAATGCTCAACTACCTTCAATAGCCAAGATTTAGCCACGCTTTCAAGTATCAATTTCAAAACCTTGGACTTTTGATCATTGCTGCTCCTACTCCATGAAACCTCTGCCCAAATCTTGTCCTGATTCTGTGTCATGTTTCTTAGACTATATACAAATATCAGCCGCAGAGTGTTTTACTTCCTCACCTTCTTTTTTTTTCTCAAGGCACCCAATGACCCTCTAGATCGTTTCTGAATGATGTTCAAACACGGCGTCGTTCAGGTCAATTAAGGTTGTTGACTTCTGTTAAAATGTGATTGTAAATTGAAATTGCAGTAATAGAGGAAGCCTCTCTTAGAAGAATGTGCCCTTGAGACTGAGATTCCCAAAGTTGACCAACTGGTGATTTTCTAGTGCACAACTTTCAGCAAATCAACAAGACATTTGGGCTAAGTTTTGCAGATGTATTTGTATTTGATTTATTATACTTCCAACTACTATTACAAGTGTAAAACGTATTATGTGGTCCAATTTTGTGTATAATAATAATATTTTTGACTAAATTAGAGTGGTTGATCAAAAAGAAAATGTATCCATCTCCCGACCTATTCACAACTGTCCTGTCAATCGCGACACAAATTCAGGTCATGAGCTTCAATTTGCCACTCCTTGATCCACTGTCGCAAAAACAGAAGCAGGAACAGCCACACTCGACTCGATCACAACACGATTATTCGACACATTCCTCAGGGCATGGTTAGGGAACGCATTGCCGCCGGTGCTTAACGTGTACTGCACATGCTTAATAAGGTTAGGAAATAGAAGAACTGGGTTAAAGTCTATGGTCCAGGAGGTGCCATTGCCTTGCACAGACCTCCTTCCAACTGTGCTCTTTATGTTCATCCCCCTCGCATTGTTCCTGTCCACAACAATTTGTCCAATGTCCTTGAAAGGCCCCTTTGATTGGTCCAATTGAACAATTCCAACCCCTTTATTGGACCCACTAAACATGTTGTTAACAATATTGACCCCATTAGCAACTCCCTTTATTGATTTTAGCACAATGTAAGCATCACCAAGGAAGAAAGTGTTTGAGATATCAAGCTGCACTGGATCTTCAGCAACTATACCAGTGTAGTCCAAGTAAGAATTCACAATTCGGGTTTGCGTCAACCCGGGAAGTCTCAAATAAATTCCCGTGCCCCCAAATCCAGTGGCCTTGTTGTAGCAATGTACTCCAGAAAGTATGTTGGCCGGACCCGAAATCATTATACCTACAGAAGCAGAAAAAATCACCACATCTGTCACAGCATTATCATTGCCCATTAGGTTGATTGCTGTGCCTGAAAAGTTCCTTTCGCCATGATCACCACCGGCGGTGATGTGCTGGCCTAGGAAGGAATTTCGGATGTAGGTTTCATGTCCACTTTGGACTAAGATCCCATTGGTGGTGAAATGAGTAATGTAACAATTGTCTATGCTAGTCCTAAGTGAGTTTATGACTGAAATGCCCCCACCCCTGTAGTTAGAGTCTAACATGAGGTCCCTTAGGGTTATGTACTCATAGTTGTAGGATGAGGATGAAGAAAGTTGTGCAGATATTGAGCTCTCATAAGTTTTTTCATTCTCGTTAGGTGATGATGAAGCAGATAAATCAATCAGGTACCCATTAGTTGGAAAATCATCCGAGGCTCGTAACGTTCCTCCATAAATCTGTTTCATCAAAATAAATAAATAAAAACGCAAATGAAACAACAAATCACATAAACCTAATACAGAATGAAAATTGAAAGTCATCATGTTGCCATGTATTTGATTAACAATTTGAAAACACATGTTAGACTATATGATCAATGGTGACTCCTTTGTGCCAATGCCGAACCTGCTCCAGCCACGTGGGCAAGCCGTTGAATGACATGTGGCATAACCATGTGTTCCAGAAACTATAGGATAGATTTTAATCAATAATATTCACGCCTACCAATTTACTAATCTTTGCTAGCACACTCCCAAGAAATTGGAAATTTTAAAATTTTATTGACTGGGGCATACCATAAGATTTCCTACTCCAGCTGCAGGCAATCTGAGTGGTCTGCTGATGCGATAATAGCCACCTTCAAGACTGATCTGGGCACCTCCAAGATTGGCAATTCCGTCAATCAAGAACCCTTCAGTTGGTCCTCTACATGCATCTGCTATTGCCTCAGCAAGTGCATCAGTGCTGTCTCTTTCCCCCGTTGGATCAGCACCGTACGATGTCACGTGATACACACGTGCACTATTTCTCCCCTGCATCACCACCGTAACAGCCACCATCATTTTCCAACAAAATAGACTAATCAACCATAAATAATTTCAAGAACAAAAACTACTGTCACACATTTTAATCAAGAATTAAAGAAACAAATTCAAGAACAAGATAATGATTTATACACAAAGCCATTAATTACCGGTGAAGGATCAACATAGCTAGGAGAAGGAGAGGGCGAGACTGAAGGTGGTGCAGCAGAAATTGAATCATGGCGGATAAGCGAGGCCTTGAACTCTTGCATTTTGCGCATATCGTCACGAAAACGACCTCCACCGGAGAATTGATGACGGCCCATTTCATAGTTTTCTGCACTTGCATGAATTATGATGAAGCTGGCAAACCCCATGAGCATCGACCATGTTAGAGCCTTTCTTAGCATTGTTGCCTCCATATCTATTTTCCCCTGTTTTGCTCTGTTTCTCTCTGTTCTAGCTCTGTTAGAACAAGTTGTTGGGGGCAAAGTGCTAATTTGATGAGTTTATATTTGTGTGGAAGAAAGAGAAAGAAAGAGAGAGAGAGAGAGAGAGAAAAAGGTAGAGTAAAGGGACATGGAAAGAGAAGGGTCTAACTAAGATTTGCTAAGAAAATGGGAAGAAATGTTTTGTTATGGATCATACACAAGACACCACCCTCCTCCATGCCTGTTTTTTGGTCTATGTATTAATTGGTATTTATACTAATGATATGATGAGAGTTTAAATTAATTGCGTATTGTCTTTCTCCTTCTTCTTCTTCTTCCTTTTTTTTTTGGGTGAAATTGAATACGTTTGGTTGATTTAATCTAATTTCTGTTCTCTAACAGAAAAGTAAGCAGTTACCAACTTCTTACTTTAGGGACCCCATCAAGTTTGACATTGTGATGAAAGGTATTTTTAAAGAGCAAGGCAACCTGCTACCTGCAGGCTAATCTTGTGGAGGATGAGGTCCAATATTGAGGTGTGGTTTGGTTGATCAATTTATTGGTCTGATTCTCCATCAACATTTATAATCAATTCAATTTATATTGGGTTGAGAAAAGGTGCTTAAAATAACCAATTAGGGTTGCAGTGGTTACATTTTTTTGGGAAGAATCATGTTTCTTTGGTGCATAGTTTTAGAAGTAAGACGACAAAGAGTGCCTATTGCTCTCTCTCTCTCTCTCTCTCTCTCTCTCTCTCTCTCTCTCTACTTTTGGATATGAAAAGAAAGCCTATGTAATCTGCCATCTGCTTACAGATTAGACACGATCAAAGAATAAGAAATTTTAGGGCAAACTTTACTCATGTTAGGGTAAATATGGGTTAAATTTGTTTAGTTTTTTTACACTAAATATGTTTTTTCTTTATGAAAATAAAAGGGTTTGGTCAAATTCTATTAGATTGATGTAAGGTCCTAAGATATTAAATGTTATGGGATCACCTTACGTTAGAGCCCTAGATTTCTTTTGGATACGTCTACTTCTAAAAAGTTGAATAGATTTGTAAGTTTGGGATGGACAAAACTAGACAGCCAAACTTTTTTCCAAACTTTTCATTTTCAACTTACTTGGCATGCTTATACACCACTACTTTCTTAATTCATGCAACATGTAAGAGGAAAACAAAGGTTAGACTATACAAACATTTTCCAATTTGGACATGGAAAAATTGCTTGTATCGTTTTTAATTAGCAAAATCAAACTAAACAAACAGATGAAGTTACCACCAGATATGTCTATCTCGCTTCGTGTGATATCGCAAGCTACAAAAAGGATCTATCGAAAATGTGTATACAACTGTGACATGTAAGTTTTACGAATTCATATGCTAATTAACCCTACTACAAAAAGGATCTATTGGGTGTTTTGTCCTCATTGCCTCAAATTATGATATCTAGCGTTTGGCCAAGCATAGAACAAACCCCAATTAAGACCAATTTAACTACACAACTTAATCTAATCAATGAAATATTTGACCACTCTGTGTCCCTATGCAAACCCCACCAAAACAATATGATTGAAGGGCACAGCAGAAGGTCACGGGCATGCATGAGTACATATTCATTGTGTGGACGGACACCAAGATGTATCCAAAACAAAGAGTACTTTTACTCCATTTGGGTAAATATATGAATCTAATTCTTTGGTCTATGCTTTGTCGATTCCTAACGTCACCAAATATCAATTGCATCACGAAAATCAGAGTAGGGAGGCAATTAGGTGAATTTAGATGTCCTAACCCTCAAATTTATATTCTTATTTTCTTTTTCTTCCAGCATTAATCTCTAGATCTTTTTCATGACACATTAATCTCTAGAAATTAATATAATCTCTTTTTGGGTTTTTTTTTTGGATGGAAAAGTTTTCTACTGCTTGGAAATTAGAGCTGTTCATATGATGAAATGATTGACTAATATTTATATGAGATGATGTGTGGAGTAATTGATTGAGGAAGGTGAGATGAGGAGGGAAAGAATTCCATGGTGGTGGTGGCTGCTTTCATTGATGCTGTTGGGTGAGGTTACCTCAAATTCCTCCTTCATCTTGAAGAAATTAATTATAGGGAGAACAATAAAACTAGAAAAACTTTCTTTGCTTCTGGCTTACACCAACCCCACCTAATGAGTTCATAATAATATATACAGAGTAGCACCAACTGTATGCTTTAAGCATTGGCATAGGGGATTTTGAGCATGTGTGATTCTTTTTCATCCAAACAGTGCACATGCAACTCCAGTTTGGTTGCAAACTTTGTGGGGCATATTATGAGATGATTATGACTGGTGTTCAAATGATAGTTATCTCATAGTTTCAATTGAAAAATGGTTATCAAATAACCCGTAGCTTTTAACTTTGACGGTGTTCCGTTTTAAACAGGAAAAGGAAAATGTTTAAATGTCAGATGCCAGAAAAATACCATGATATTATAAAGATTCTGCAAAGAAAATAAACCTTGAAGAATTATTTGCTCCTTCCTTGGTCATCAGTTGGACAAAAACAAAAACAAGACCATGAAAGAAAATAAAATTGTAGAGGATGCTAATTGGTAGATTTTTCGTCATATATATCATACAGTGGTTGAAGAAAAGTGAGGAGGCTCCTTTACATTGTTGGCTTGTTGTGGATAACAGTTGAATAAGTTGGCTTGGGTTTCACATTCCATACAATCTAGAGACAAATTTGACATGTTTGTTGGCGGGCCTCAAAGTTTCCTTCTTTCTTATTGTTTTTCAAAAGCTATGAGTCAAAACTTTTACTTGTTTATTTTTGTTTTTCAAAACATATATGTAAGTCCATGGACTATACAACTTAAAATTATTAACCCTTTGAACTCATAAATAAAGCCAATCAATGGGATTTATCATCAGGTAATGAAATCTATTAACACAAGATCACTCGCATAAATTTATCATGAGATAGGGGAAGTTCAAACTTAATTAGCACCTTTGAATTTTTTAGTGGCTGAAATTGTGGAGAAAATGATTGTATATTCCATCATCTCTTCCTTGCTTATGTCATGACTTTTTTATGTTTGAAATATCGTGCGCGCAACAACCATCCCCATCGATTGTAAATTGTAATTTATTACCAATTAAACTGCATAATCTTGACCTAGTTGGAAGCTCAGGGCAAGAATTTATCAAAAGTGGCCCTAAACTTCACTGAGGTCTTTTGAGATACACACAACTTGTGTGAAACAATGTTCTATTTTGCATAATTTAAAGAAAAATGTTATAAAACAGGTTAGCTAGCCATATAACGTGACAGTTGATATGTACTTATTACATCAATTATGGATGCATACATGCAAAGTCCGTTTGCACAAAGATCAAAGCCGTTACAAGGCATGTTTTCGGGAACATGTGGGACATTTATAGATATATCCCTTTACTAAAAATGAAATGCAGGCATCATCTCCCAGAGTGAACATTGAAGATTCTTTTCTTGGACAAGAAACAAGACGAATGAGAGAATGCGCACCATGAAATAAAGAGTACGCAGTCGTTGCTTGTTGAGCCCATTACATGCCGGCAGCCTGCTCCTACATTTCAAAGTGGGCTCACTGGTTGGCTAGCCCATGGGACTCTGACTCGAAGACCGAGTGTGAGAGGTATTTCAAAATGGGCCTTTCTTCCCCTAGGCAAAGTTCATTATTTAAGTTGATCGATCCCCTCTTTAGGCTTACGTTCTCTGTCAAAATTTAATTTGTTTTTGACAGGAAACATGCAGCTTGCCGTCAAAATTTAATGTAATTCGTTTTCTTCCACCATCCTTCCCCACTTTCAATGGTGTATGCATTAAAGAATCTAAAGGAATATATTTTGTAGGTCCACTACTCCAGGATCAGGTGGAATCTCTAGGAATGTTAGTGCAGGATATTTTAAACAAATTAATAAAAACAAATTATACATTATTGATAGAGGACTACTCGTCATAACGCACATAATTAAAAATACAACTGATGCATGCCTGCTCTTCAGGGAACCTACAGAAGAAACTGGGAGAAAAAGGCAAAACATATATATATATATATATATATTTTTTTTTAAAGTCCCGGCAATTGCAATACATGGTAGTTAGCGGGCAGGCTCAGTTCCGCAAGAGGGGATTAGTCGAGGTGCACATAAGTACCTAAAACAAACATATAAAAAGAGAAAAATGAACATATATAGTACCCATACAAAGGAGAATGAAACTGGATTTGTTTCATTCACAAACATTGTAGAACTTGAATTTTTACTTATATTTCGTTTTTCCTAATCAACCTCATTATTAAATTATTCGCAAATTGTTTTGAAAGACCCTTTTCACAGTCATTTGGCATTTTATGATGGAAACATAGGTTATTTTAGAAATAGCACGAGTCTAGTCCATTGAAAGATGATATTGATTTGCAGTAATCGAATTCCAATGACACCGTGATGTGTTTGTGTGAGAACTCCCCTCCCGTATAGTTTAGACTATTATTTATACTAAAAATCAATAATATAAGAATTAAATGATGTGTAATTAAAAATCCCTTGTTAACACCCATATAGTTAGCAATATTTTGGTGTACACTAAAATTGAAAAAAATAGTTCTGTGGCGATATATATTCAACAAAATTCAATAGAAAAAAGTTCTTAAAGGAAAAAAAGAAAGAAAAGAAATGGATTTTGAAGCTTCCATATTGGTTCAAATTTGCAGCTCTTTCTTTCTTGGTTAAAACAAGACCTTGCTTGTGATGATAAACTAGTTAACTTGATGGGCTAATATACGACAGATAGATCATGAGAACTTTGGTTTTACGTGATGACTATTTTATTTCCAAAATCAAGGAGAAGAAGCCACACACGTAACTTCAACCTGTCCATTATTTTGACAATAACATCTCTATTATTATAAATACATTAAAATATATGATTCTGTTTTCAAGGCAAACATGTGCATCATT